AATGGAAGTAGTTTGGATATGGCATTTATCGCCTCAGCCTGAATATCTGTAGGTAATTTACTTATTTCGTTTTGAGTCATCGGCAGAAAGAAAAAATCCTGGCTCCGAAACATTAGAGAGTGGACAAATCTTGGCGTTGGAGAATTGTTCCATGTTGCAAAAGACAGAGAAGAATTTAGAAAAGTGGTCGCCAACCTTCTATGAGAAGACGGCATGGAAAGAAGAAGAGTTTTGAGTCATTTTTGGCTCCAATTCAATCAGCAAACGACACGAAAGAGAATTAAAAAATATTGACTCAAAACTGACAACTAAAGAGACAGCTTTATTTATTTGTCAAATTACATAGATTACATAGATATAGTCTATAAAATGAATAACTTTGAATTTTGACCGTTATTTTTTACCAACATGGCAAATATAAAATCCCTCTATCAAAAAAGTTACTGATATTCTTTAAATTGAGTGCCTGAACGAATCAGATAGGTAACTCTTTTCACTTTCGTGAAATAGAAAAGGAAAATAATAAAAACAAGTGACAGTTCTTCCTCTTTTTGCAAAAATCCACACGAAATGTCAGACTTGTCAAAAGTAACATCTCATCAGCTTTTGACATTTCTAAATATCAGACCGATGCCGTCTCTAATAGAACAGCCTCGGAGCGAGATTTATGACGTCATGCTAGTTAGATATTGTTTATAGTACTAGATATTGTTTATTGTTATTGTACTAGATATTGTTACCTATTTATAGTAATAAATACTTTGGCAAATAAACTATGAACCATACAAATGCAGCAAATGTTTTACAATATACAAATAATGAATAGGTACATAAGATAATGGGTAAAATGTAAAATATATTTTAAATTTTGGGGTTTGAAAATCGATCTAATTTAACAAAAAAACATTCAATATCTACTAATAGTGATGTATTATTATTTGCATTCACAAAATTTAAATGTATATTTTGCAAGTATCAATGTTCGAAAAATTATATTTGCAAATAATACAATATCATAGAAAAAAAGGCGTCAGCGATGGCTATGAAATAAAGATCGCTGTCATTTTATATGTAAAATTATTCTAAAATTTTTGATTTCTTGGAATTTATGTTTGGGAAAAATGCTGATTAAGTTTTCATTTGGTTTTTCATTATTTTTATTTGGTTAAAAAACAAACGTTTTGGCTAACATTATAGCCTTCATCAGGACACATTGTTGTGTCATAAAAAAGATAGTGTCGAATATAATTCAAAAAATGTCAATTTTATATGTGATTTTTTGGATTATATTCCACACACCACATAATATTTCCTGCAATTAATAAACTAATATAAACTGACCACATATTTTTTTAAATTATTATTCTTAACAGTAAAACTATCTACATTGACTATGGCTGAAATCGTACTCTATAGTCAATGTAGATTATTTGTATATTGTAAAACATTTGCTGCATTTGTATGGTTCATAGTTTATTTACCAAAGTATTTACTACTATAAATAGGTATATATATTGTATTTATTAACTGTATATTATGTATATTTCATGTAAACTATATCATTTTTAAAATACAAACCAAAAATACGAGAAATAACGATGTTTTCCATGTATTCTACAACATATTTATTAATCCGTAGTATCTAACTAGCGTGGCGTCATAAATCTCGCTCCGAGGCTGTTCTATTAGAGACGGCATTGCGTCAGCATGGCCGCAAGTTGCTATACTCTGTTTTTTTTCTCAGGTAAGATTTCGACAGACGATGACAGAAGAAAAGCAGATGACGTCCCATACCAATCTATTTATTTTACTAAAAAAAGTTTCTAATTATTTTTAAGTTATCTATGGATGGGTTTAAATATAAATCCGTCATACGTCGTGTCTTGTTGTTTTTAACCAGTTTTATTGGTTTATTTAAAAAATGACAGATCGTATTTCAATTTTATTGGTTTGACGGAACGATGAACGATAAACGGACGCGATGCGTATGAACTCGCCTTTAGATTTTTGTCATTTTGACGCTTGCATCAAAATCTTGCCAAATTATAGGTTATAATTTTGTGTCAACTTTTGTTAAATACCCTGCGTTTTGGAAGATGTGCATTTTGATTCGTATTATTACGTGTGTTTTGTGTCTTTTGAAGTCAAGTGGAGGAAAAATCGAGTGAAAATTAACTGTAGACCCAGAGCACAGTTTATGGTTAATACTCGTTGCCCAGGCAGAAAGTCTTATACACCAATGAAGTTGCCATCGATAAAGTTTGTATACCATTTAAAAAAAAATATCGACATCACACGATAGGCAAATAATGGATTTTAGTACTGCAGAAAAATAATGTCAAAAGGTACTGGTTTAAAAAAATTAAGATTAAAGTTAATTAATCAACCTTTAAGTTATAAAATTTGGTAGGAGTTATTATTAATAAAATAGTTTGTTTTATTTACCTATGTTGTTTTATTTTCATTCACCAGCAGGAATATTACAAATTTGTATTTGTACATAAGTTATATTGATAAATATAATCATAAATGCGGGTAGTTTCATAAAGCTTGAAAGTAAATAATAGTTCTTTTATATTTTTTTGGTATGTAGTGTCTTGTTCTTGTTTGTTTTTGTATTAACACATACCGTTTTTATTAAATAAAATAACTCGATTACATTTTTTCAGTTTTTTATACAGTTTTTTTCACAATATTTTGAAGTAATCACTTGTCATCTTGTCAATCAAATTTTAAATATTTCCTGCTATGCGTTCCAGTTGTACCAACTTATTTCTTTGTAAAATAAAATAAACTACTTTGAAATTAAAATGACAGACACATCTATCACTGTCAAGGATCTTCTCGTTGGACAGACTATAACCTTATAAAATTAACACCAGAAAAGCCCGCGGGAACTGTCAAATTCAAAGTTATTCGTTTCACAGACTATACAACGCCAACCCAGCACAAGATTATTTTTTCCACTCGTAATAAATTCCTTGAAATAATAATTTCTGAATATTTTTTAAAATGTAACTCGCTATGGAAAAAAATATTGTTTTATACACGACGATAAAATTGCATTATCGTCTCCCGAAATTAATTACTTATTATAATTTATTATTTATAAAAAATAACTATTTTTAAATATTTTTCAAACAAAATCAACGTGCCTCGCGAGAGGAGATATAACTTAACATCCTGTATAATATGTAATCGGCTACTTTACTGGCGAAATGGACTAACCTTGCAGCATTCCACAGGGACGCTGACTTCTTCGCTGGCTTCCATCTACCGGATGATGCGCCTTCTCGTCCATTTAGTATTTATTTAATTATACTTAATAGTAGTTGGGAACCGGTAAATAATATAACAGATTAAATATTTTAATTTTGAATCAACTCTACAGAAAAAAAATATATCTAAGTATATTTTTTGTTAAAAAGAAGAAAACTTAATTTTATTTTATACAGGGCGTTTAAAAATAAGATTTATTTTTCATATCAACATAGGTCCGATTCTGCTTTGTTTCGTAGCTACAGGGTGTTAAAGTTTTAATAATTTTTCGATTTATTATAATTTTCTTCCAAGTACCTACTTTTAGCGATTCGAATGAAATTTTTTGAGGGTAAAAGTTACTATAAGTGCTACATATTTTAATGGTAAAAAAGTGTCGATAAATTCAGTGCGCCACTGTCTTTGTTCTTTTGTGTAGGCCGCTTAATGCCAATTTAAAGTTATCTCTTGATATTTTGATATAAAGGTTTTTTTAGAAAAGGACATTTTTATATTATTAAAGATTCATTTCGATAGCAGAAGTTGTATCCACTATTGTTGCTTTATTTAAGCATGCTAAAGATCAACTTTTGGACTTAAAACCATTATTTGTTCTGCGTGACTGTCAGCACTTGTGTCTAGCCCCAGCAGGCAACTATTAAGCCCGATCAAACACGTTAGACTTTTTGACAAACACAAATGAATTAACACCCTCCAAATAACCACGCTAACCAACCTGATTGGTCAACAAAGACTAGTAATATGACATTTCCATGACATCGACATTAGAAATTAATAAACTTTGTTTCATAGGTAGATTGATGTATTGATGAGGACCAAAAGCAAAGAATGCTTTTAATGCTAGAACTTTTTGAACTAAATCTATTTATTTAATGAATTTATTTTTTACTAACAAATTAGTAAAACGCATTTTTTAGAAACCCAACTAAATTGACTATTAGTATTTAATCTTAACAAAGAGTAATAAATTAAAAGATTTTTGTCATATTTGATGTTTTTTTTTTCAGTATATACAGGTCTTAAATAAATGCAAATATTTTTAGGACTGGTAGAACTCGATAAAATATACATATTTTCTCTTTACCGTTTGTCAAATAAGTCCAAAATAACCGGAAAAATTTTGGAAAAAAAAATTCCATATATTTTGAGAACCACTGGATGTTTTCTGTTTTTTTTTCTTGTAAATTTAATCTACTGCCTATGTTAATTGCCATATTATCAAGAAATTATTTTTTTAACTAAAAGATAAAAAATTTCCAATTTTTTTTTTTAAAAAATTTTAAATTTTCACAAAAAAAATTCGTGAAAAAACCTCATAAATATACTACCCCTAAAATACGTTTTTATTTAAGGCTCACCCTGTATATATCTAGCCAGTGGCGGATACAGAGGGGGGCCCATGGGGCTCGGGCCCCCCCCCTAAAATCTGTTAATTGGGTTAAATCTTAGACTTTTGGGTTAAAAATGGCGCCCTAAAAAGCATATTCTACATTACTTTTTATTTTGGCCCCCCCCCCTAAAATAAATTCCTGTATCCGCCCCTGTATCTAGCGGGGCTTTAAGATAAAAAATAAGCGAAATTTCCGGGAAAGAAAAATAAACAAAAAAAAATTATATATAAAACTTTATTAAAAAGCTTCAAATATACTCTAATATCGGATTAACCTAATAATAAGAGAGACTCCATCTCGATCGACCTACAAAAAAATGACATAAATAGCGTTACTGTAACAAAAATACATTCGCCTTTTTGACATGCCCCTCTTCCGAGAGACACACGAGCAAAAAACAAACAATAATACAAATAAAAATAAAACGTAAAACAAAAAAAAAACACATTCTTTACATTGCGACAAAAAAAATCTTAAATTCGATTCTTCTAAAATATTGAGCACCGCGGTGTTTGGTTGCCTCAAAGCGTTCCGAAGAGAATAAAAAATAATTAAGTGACAGTTATGGAACGGATCGGGCAAGCGAACTTCCGTAGAATTACATTATTAAATCAGTCATTAAATCTTTCACACTAGTCAGCAACCGATCAGGAACTAGCTGCGTTCTCTGTAGCTTTGTGTTCTTCAACTACAGCATGTTCTGGTTTGATTTCCTCAGCTACGTGAGATACTGCATCATCATGAGAAGGTTTTGACGATTCAGGTACAGCAACGGCAGATTTACCCTCGGGTTGCTTCTCGAAAGGCTTCTCCTCTTCGTGAGGCCTGGCATCTGACGCTACCTGGTCAGCGATGGCTTGTGGTTGTTCAGAAGCAGCCTGAGGCTGTTCAGAAGGTTGCTCAGATGCTTGCTGAGGTTCCTCCGTCGTCTGCTGAGGTGCTTCTGAAGCTGGAGAGTCTTGAGACACTGAATCTTCTTGGATTGGATGATGAACTTCGGAAGGAACTACTTCAGGAGCGTGAGGAACTACGCTGTCATGTACTGCATTGTCCTGGGCACTTCCTTCTTCAGATTTAGCCTTTTTTTCGATGGGTTGTTCGATTTTTTCTGGCTCGATAGCTGTGGTTTTCAGTTCAGGGATTTTCTCTTCTACTGCAGCTGGAACCTCGACTTTTTGTTCGCTGGGTAGTGCAATAATATCTTCTTGAATTTCCGAAGCAGCGGCTGTTTTGGTTTCGTGGTGTTCTTCGGTGTGGGTTGGTAGAGCTAAAGGTTTCTCTTCAATGTGTTCCTCGATGTGGGATTTAACCAGAGGAGCTTCTTCAGCTTTGATCGGTTCCTGTTGGGGCTGTTCAATATGTTTCTCCGGTTCAGCAGCCTTGATCTGAGGAGATACTTCACTTTCTACTTTCTTAAGAGTCGGTAAAGCTTCCTCAGGCTTTTTTTCTTCAATTGGTGCAGGTTCGGCTGGTTTAATCTCTCCTCCTGTCTTCAATTGAGGTTCCTGAGCCGCCGGAATAGCCTCAGAAGCGTGAGCGGGGTCAGAATGAGACTCCTTTAGAGCGATACCGGCTTGGGGTTGATCAAGCGCCGGTTTTTCGGGGGTTTCTTCAGAAATAGCTGCCGGTGCTTCGGAAGGCTTGGCTTCTCCACTTTCCGACGATTCTTCTGAGCTGGAGCTCGAGCTGTCTGAGCTTGCGTCGTGCTGGAGGGTCTTTGTGAGTTCGTGCTTGGCTTCTTCGGATTTGGAAACTGAAGAATAGGAGTCGGAGATGACTAGGGGATCGTGGGGCTTTTCTTCTGATTCACCCAGGGGGTATGAAAAGGCCGTGGCGACTAGAACAAGTCCAATTAGAAGTTTCATCTGAAAAAAAGAAATAAAGTTAAAAACGAAACTTTCAAGGAACTAAAATAGCTAGATTAACTTTTAAAATTCAGAAATTACATATGGGGGGTTCAGAAATGAACTGGATCAAGTCCTAGAAGATAATTATGGAGAAAATGAGAGATAAAGTTTTTTTAATGTTACTTAATTTAATTAAAACAAGCTGGAGAAGAAAACTTGACACAATGCTTTATTATATTTTAAATTGTATAATTGCAAACTAAAGTAACTCAAAATACAACTGTGGTCGTTTTTAAGAATATTTATTTATAGTTTTTTGGACTTGAACCATTTTAACTCTGAAAATATTTGAAATTTTAGATATAAATTGGTTCATCGGTACATTGAGTACATTCTTCTTCGTCATTAAGGGATTTGTTGACTTTACATTGTCTATTAATAGTGCAAATGGTTCAGACTTTGTTTCATTATCATCCATTTTATTAAAAAAAAAATTTGCTCTAAACTTTAGCACGTGTGTTAAAATCGCGCACAGCGTTAAATTTTATGGACTTGATCCAGGTCACTTTTGAAAGGAACCAACAGAATATTCAGAAACTAAACAGAAACAGGCTATAGCTGCTTAATGCGTGAAGTATGACTTGATTCAGTTTCTCTACTGAAAAAAAAAACAATCTATACTAATATATAAAATCCTTAAGTGACTGACATACTGATTAATCACGATCTTGCTTAAACCACTCAACGTAAAAAGCTCAATTTTGGCATACAGGTTGATTCTAGGGTGAAGAGGTTCGATAAGAAGGGATTTTTCGAAATTCCAGTTCCAAGAGGGTGAAACCACCCCTCAAATATTACAATATTTTTTTATTTAAAAAAAGTTTCCGAAAATTTAACACTTAAAATAACCAAAATATAACACTTTAAAAAATTTGACCAAAAATGTCTGCGGTGCGTTTTTTTGCATCTCAGTGTAGAATACAATGAACTCCATAACCTGTATAAACAAAACCAGATCAACTTGGTATAGTTACTTAATACCTGCTACCTGTCAACTCTGTTCGACTTTCTTCCGTACCGCTACTTAAACGATATGGATGAACTTGAAACTCTTATGTCACTCACTTGAAAACCTGATTTCGATTGTTTACAAATAAAAACCTACACACAGACGAGCAATGAATGAAATGAAAGGTCATCCAATTTCCTATCATTTTAAGATAATCTTTATAAAATACTAGCGTGTACCAGCGACTTCGTTGGCGTAGATATAATCATTTGTAATGGTGATGATAAAGCAAAGCAAGAATTTCCATTAACATACAAACTGGATAAAATTTTCTCACATTTATGTCAGCACGAGAAAAAACAATATGGCGATATTATTATATAACTTGGTAATATTTGAGGGGTAGTTTCATCTCGTTGGAATTTGACTTTCGAAAAATCCGTTTGCCAAAAATAAGCTTTTTACGGCAAGCAGTTTAAGCAGAATCGTGGTTAAGAAGTTACCCAACTTTTTGGAACAACCTGTATGATTTTTAAAAAAAACAAAATATGTAAAAAACCAAATAAATTATGCTTGTCCAAGCGTTTTCCCGAAAGACTAACCGTTTTTTAAATAACAAATATTGTATATATGTATATTTATATATGGGAATAAAATACTGAAATAAAGTACAAATTCATTTAATTTCTTTAAAATATATTGCCATTTCATAATGATAATAATACTTTTCAATATTTATTTCATCCTGAATTTCCAAATCTTGTTTTCTTTCATCGGGACGTTTTCTCTTTATGGGAACATGCACAGAGGGTCCATAAGAGGGTTGATTTGGAAAAATTGTAGGCACAGCATGTTCTGTAGGTTTTGGACGTGACCTAGTTACAGATCCTGGTAGACACATCCTGAGGACTTATTATAATTGCTGCTACAAGGCACAGGTACAGAACAATGTCGCGGAATTTTTTATTTCACAAAGTAAAAATAAAGAAACGAAAATTGTTTTACATAAAAATACACGTCACTCACGTTGGTTTAACACTATACACTAACACTAACGCTATTAATTATGTTTTTATACAAATTCCCCAACTTTTTCCTAGCCCGGACACACAGCCGGCATCGCCGGTGTTACTATAATTTTTACCGAAAGTATGGTTTTTTCGCGGGTACGATGTTATGAATCGGATCTAGATAGTTCACTATTCACTCAAAATTATTTAGTATAATTTGATTAGCATAGAAACGCGTAAAAAACACATATTTGTTGCGAAACTAATGAAAACAATGGGTTTGTTTACGACTACTAATTCTGGACCACTTCGGTAGAACTGTCAAAACAGTCAGGCCTTGAATATGACGTTAGCCACGATATTATATTTCAGAAATCTGCCTGAGGCAGGGGCGGATACAGGAATTTATTTTAGGAGAGACCAAAATAAAAAGTAATGTAGAATATACTTTTTAGGGCGCCATTTTTAACCCGAAAGCCTAATATTTAACACAATTTTCAGATTTTAGGGGGGGGGGCCCGGGCCCCATGGGCCCCCCCTCTGAATCCGCCACTGGCCTAAGGCTTAGCACGATCCTGCCGTGCTAAGCCACACCCAACATTCCAAACACACGTGCTTTCATCAAGGCTTGATTAAGGTTTGCAGAGCTTCAGCATTTGCCATAAAATATGGACCAATTTGTTACAAAACCATATAAATTATATATCACTGTAATCAGAAAACTTCAATCTATTTCCGTATTGTAACGGAATTTTAAATTATGTCTTTATTTTCGAGAAAATTTAGCCGAAACATAAGGAATATTTTGTTGATGTTTGACCATCTGAATCTTAAAAATTAAGAAGTTCTCTAAAAATGTGCTACAATACGGATAAAGTATAATCCTTTATCTTTAATTTCCTTCTTCATTTGTGTAAAAATACCTAGCCAATTTTACTTAAAACGTTAAATGCCGAACGCTTATTTTGCCACTTTTTCGGACTAGTAAAATCGACTCTTAACAGTTTTGAAGATACTTCTAGCACAGAATATCTAGCTACGCAACAGAAAAATACTCGAAATGAAAGAGCTAAAATTGCACAAATAGAATACTAGATGGCGCGACAATATCATAATCAGAATATAATAAGAAATTTTGAACTTTCGGTTTTGGATCGACGGGATCGACGGCTCGTCGACGGCCTTATAGCTCGGCTAAATATGCACAGTTGCCAGATTCAAAAAGACTTGAATTGGCATCCCATTATTTTTATTGTGTATAAAATATACATTTTTAATATACACTACCTAATAATGTTAACTAAGAAAATACCTTTAATTACCTTTAAAATTAATAATATACAGGGCGATTGATAGTGATATTTATTAATGCTGGAACGTTAGTAATGAAATATAAGTTTAATAATAATGGAAATAATTTATTAAAATGCAGTACAAAAAATGTTAACTGACTAAAAAATACTATAATAACAAATTTCTTCCGTTTGCCACGTTATTTATATAGATCTAGGTAGATTTTAAAAAGTGACACAGGTACAATTAATAATATATTAGTTCGGCATAAAAGTTGCTGTCACGACATCGAACAATAAATTAAAATTCGTAAAATAAATTAAAATTATTAATTAAACAAATCTTTATAAAGAAACGCAAGTATACCAAATTTGGGCCGAATCGAACTCCAGGAAATTATATCATAATAGTGTACTATATTATGGTACCACTCGATATGCTTTAAGGTACCATAATATTGCTATGTCACCGAAGATCCGTAGTATACCAAATTTAAGAACAATCGAACGCCATGAAATGGTATCGTAATATGGTACTATATTAAGGTACCACTTTATATACGTCATAGTACCATCATATTACAATGTCACCGAAAATACGTAGTATCCCAAGTTTAAGCCCAATCGAACGCCATGTACGTAATATAGTATACTATATTATGGTACCAGTTGATATGCTTCATGGTACCATAATAATGCAAATTCATCAAAAATATGCAAGTATATATCAAATATGAGTTCAATCGAACACCAGGAAATGGTATTGAAATATGGGACTATATTAAGGTACCACTTTATATGCATCATAGTACCATCATATTACAATGTAACCGAAGATACGTAGTATAACAAGTTTAAGCCCAATCGAACGCCAGGAAATGGTATCGTAATATGGTACTATATTATGGTACCTCTTATTATGCTCCATGGTACCATAATATTACAATAGCACCAAAGATACGTAGTATCCCAAATTTAAGCTCAATCGAACGCCATGTACATAATATGGTACTATATTATGGTACCAGATGATATGCATCATAGTACCATCATATTACAATGTCACCGAAAATACGTAGTATACCAAGTTTAAGCCCTATTGCCGCCATGTACCTAATATTGCTATGTCATCAAATATGGTACTATAGAAGGTACCACTTTATATGCTTCATGGTACCATGATATTACAATGTCACTGAAGATATAGTATACCAAGTTTAAGCCCAATCGAACGCCATGTATCGTAATATAGTACTATATTATGGTATCACTTCTGATATGGTTCTTGAAAAAACGGCGTCCAGTTGGCTGGAAAAGGACGATCGATGACATTTCCATATAAATTTACATATAAAATGACAGCGATATTCATTTCATAGCTATCGCTAACGCCGTTTTTTCCCGATTATACGATATGAACTTGGTATGAACACAATCGAACGTCAAGAAGTGGTATCATAATAGTAGAACAATACTTATTATATTGTCGCCGAATTACAATGAAAATTCAGGATTCAATTATACAATCAAACGTCAGGAAGTGATTGTAATTTAGCTCATAAGATTTAATTCCAACTAACATGGCAAACTGAAAAACAGCTCTGATCTATTTTAATATGTTTAAATGATGTAGCAAATTTGAAGGTAGGCTTTATTAGGAAGTATTACGATATGAATTACACAATGGCAACACTGCACAAAATTATT